AGTTTAGCTATCTTGGTATTTCTCCTTTTTTCCCCAATGACAATGTGATCACATGAAAGACAGGAAGGAGGTCATAAATTTTGGAAAATTGTCTTCTGATGAACTCATACAAATGTTTGGAATTTTCATTGCCCAACAGTTTGAATATTGCTTACCTATATAATGGGACTGTTAGCATAGTAAAATGATTCGAGGGCTGTAACTGTTATGTATGAAGATAATCATCTATTTAGGTAGAAAAAGTAAAACAAAAAACAAAAAGTGGGAAATAGTGCATAACACAAAGTCTCAGTTAGTTAGTAAGCATGTAGGTATACAACCCACTAATTAAGAATGTATGAGTGGTATTTATGTCAGCTTCAGAGAAGGATTTCCGTGGAGAATGATGAGTGATATATCAAACAAAAAGGCAAATAAATTTAGTTTCATAATAAATAAAAATATTTCTTTGTAAAGAAACTCTTGATAGAACTTAAAGTTTTCATCTTATTAAATTATTGTGATTATTTTAAAATATTTTATATTGTAGTATAGTTATTACAAACCCAAAGGAGAACTGGCCATTCATTTCTTTAAAAGCACTTTTTTTTCTTTTTTTTTTTTTTGGCTACTCATGGTATGCCAGGTCTTATGGCTTGTGGGTCCTGGTGCTATAACAAAAGCTCAGAAACTGTTATGAAGCTTCCCCATCTGCCAGGGCCAGGCTTGAATATGAATACATGTGCACTGCACTATAGGGTGATAAGGGCTTTAGAGAGACTAAGGGAGGGTAAAAGGTAGACGAAAATTATTGAACACTACGGGGATTTCTTTTCCACATCCCAAACTTGCATGCCATACAAGAAGGCCTTCTTCTGTTAAGGCTTCAGGAACTCTCTTCCTTGCTTTGGTCAGGCATCTGTGACCACAGAGGTCATCTAGCCCCACCTCCTCCACCACCCTAATTCAGTTCATGCCTTCAAATAGACCCTTCCTTCGCCCGATGTTCTATCTTGCTGATCAATGACTTCTTTCAGGCGAGCTCTCGTGGAGTTGAGAGTCCATTTAAGGTGTCAAGGAAGATTTGCAGACATTGCACTTTCCCAGAAGTTCAGAGAAGTGCTGACATGCGCCAGGAAGAAAACAAATTGCACCGGCATCCTAGCTGAGGCGGGGAACTTTTTGCTTTTATTTACTTATTAGGATTTTTATTGTTGTTGTTGTTGTTCATTTAAGGTTGGGTATATGGGGCTGGATAAACATTTGAAGGCATGTTCTGTCCTGTATAATTCTTGCACTATGCTTGTAAGGAAATGATCTACTTCATCTACGTAATAGAAGTGACAGATTTATCTATTGCTAGGAGGAAAACTAAAGTTGGAGTATGGGTATCCTGGAAGCCAGAGGAAAGAACTTATCTTAAGTGAAAGTGAAGCCTTCATTGACCCATGCCTTATGTAGGTGACAGACAACATTATGGGAACCAGAAACCTCCTGCTGTTGTCAATGGAAGGATTTCATGTGTATTGACCAAGATCCCTCTGTCAATTCTGTCAGAATTGTTTTCTTAATTGGCTCGAAGAGTGGTGGCTTAGAAGATGCCTTCACTGAAAAGGGAGCCATACCCACTTGTCCATAGGACCCTGAGAGTCTTACACTGGGAGAGATCCTACCAACGCTGTCAATTGTAAAAATGGAAAACTTCAATTCTTATGGCAGCGATATTTTAGGCAGAGCATCCCAGGAGTACCCAGAAATAAATGATCTCAGTGGACCTATGCTTCACATTACTCCAGTCTCCTTATTATGTTGAAAACATGAACCTCCATTTCCATAGCCTCAAAATGAAGATAACACTTTATGCATCTTCCCCTGGCCAGGACTGACTGGAATAGTTTCAGAAAGGCTGCCAGGCCAGGCCTGGCTCGCTCCAAGTTAGATATCAGTTAACAGAGCTAATTGTACCAATTTAAAAGTGTTCTCAAATCAGTGGAGGACACCATGGAATTGTTTTCCTTTGATGCCCTTAAGTACCTAATTAATGTCTAGTTGATCCAGATATTTTTACTGAGTGTCATGAGCTTTCAGTTCCTTTGTAGTTCTGTGACTGGGGTATAGATCTGCTCACAAGATTACTATATAAGGCTTGTGCTGTTGAAGTCTTCAAATGGCCTCAAGTTCACCCACACCACTCTTCCTAACTTAGTGATGTTGGCTGACCTTGATCCTCAGCTTGAGTGTTGTTCAGGTGGAAATTTCATGGTTAATTTTTTGAGGTCCATGTCTCTACCTTTGGCCTTTGCCTTGATTAGCCCCATGGACTCTGAAGCCAGATTGCCATTTGAGTGACAAGTTCCTCTATTCTATCCCCTACACTTTTGATTCCCTAGATCGGTGGTGGCACTGAGCAGGAGTTTGTGTTTTATTAAGTGCTGAGCTGGGAAACAGTTTGAGACTGTAAAGTGAAAGGAAGGGAGTCTGGTGCAACTGCTCTGTCTCTGGCCCAGATATCCAAGCCTTGCCAGTTGTTTTGGTGAGGACTTGATGATATGCAGATAACTTGTTTCATCCAGTTTTATAGCTGGTATTTATAGCTGGTATAGCCGTCTCCATCTTTCCAGCCTCCCCCCCCCCATATTCCTCTCTTCAGTCTTCTCCTGCTTGCCTTCCTTTCTGTTTCCTCTATTGACATGTGTGAAATAAAGGAATACAGGCTGGCGGTATCGGCTTGGAATCTTAGCTGTAGTTTTCTTTTTTTGTTTGTTTTTGTTTTTTGTTTGTTTTTTAATAGGAGACATAGTCAGTAGAATCATAAGTTCCAGGTCAGCCTAGGTAACTTGGTAAGAACCCTTTTCAAAATAAATGTAAAGACAGGGCTATAGATAGAGCTCAATGATTGAACACTTGCCCAGCATTAGAAGGCTCTAGAAGGCTCCAGAAAGCTCTGGAAGGGTCTAGGTTCAAACTCAAGTACCTTTATTTTGGTTTTACTTCACTAGATTTAGCTCTATGGTAAGATCAGCTGGAAAGACAGACTTAACTCATTTTTTGAGACCATGGACAGTCACCATGGTGATGTAGCTCTTGAGGCCTCCAATGATGCTCAAGCACACTCCATTTTTACTCCTTTTTAATTGCTGTAGTACACACGCACGCACACACACACACACACACACACACACACACACACTCCTTAAATTTGTAGATGTAAAAACTGAAAGGCCATGCTTAGCCAATCCCTAAGCCCCATGGTGATTCGGTTAGGTCTGCATCTTGGGATTATTGAATTAGAAGGGTCAACATCCTCTTTCAGAAAATGTACTACCATTTCTAGAAACAACATTTTCTATTTTATTTCTCAGAAATATTCCAGGACACAATTCTCTATGTGAGTATATTTATTAGCATTGCAAATATGTACTCCCTTCTGTTTTTTAAAAAAACATATGTTTTTGGTGATCCCTTGGGAAAGTCACTTCATGTATCCCAATCCTGCTCATTTCCCAGTTCCTCCATACCTGCCCCTCATACTCATAATGTTCCCCCCAAAATTAAAAAGAAATTAATTTAAAAGGAAAAGAAAACAAGCAAACAAAAAAACCCACTTTGCTTTCCCACTTCTCCAATACCTCCTCATTTGTCTTAGTGGCATGGGGAGCTGTGGTGTGTCATACAGTGGACCCAGTGCTCTTATGTCCACTCAGCTGGACTTGCAAATGTTCATTATGATGAGTTCTTGGTCTGGTTCAGGGCCCCCAACATCTTTTTCTTTTCTACACAGTAATTAATCTTTTATTTTCATATAAAAATTTCCCTTCACTTCCAAGCTTCTTTTTTCTATAAAATAAGAAACATGCATAAACAGATAACGTTGTTACTAACAGTAATTAAAAAAACATATTTAATTATGTGCTTTATATACGGGCTGTACATTTTCCTCCCTCCTCTTCTCCCAGTCCCTCCTGCCCTTCTGTCCCCCCCCCCATTCACTGCTCCTGCATTTTTGTTTAGGAAAGGGCGGGTCCCCCATGAGTATTAACAAAACAGGGCATATCAAGTTGCAGTAAGACTAAGAACCTCCCCATGTATTAAGGCTGGATGAGGTGACCCAGTATGAGGTTTACAGTCCCCAAAGCAAGGCTTCCTTCTTAATGACTGTGTCCCATCTGCCTATAACCTGTCACGAGGGGACCTCTCGTGTGGAGATCACAGACATTTGGTTGGAGTATCGGTATGACAGTTCTGCGATGCTTTTCCTTGAGGAAGCCATATTTCCTGCCCCGAGTTTTAAATATTTCCCTTTCTGCTAGCTTGAGAACTACGTAAGACAGTGCCGAGTCTCACATGAGCTGTGACTTTTATGTTTCTGCTCTTTAAAGCCTGTGGCTTTAGAGTGACCATGAAGGAACAGGAAACCTGGGATTCCTGTGAGTAGATCTCAGGAGACGAGAGGCTGACTCTTCTCAGTCCTGCCCTCTGCCCTTCACGTAAACCACAGGGCTGTTCATTTGTCATCTGAAGTCAGCCTGCCTCTCACTGGTGCAGGCCTCAGCTTTGTCCAACACAACTTGCTTTCTGAGAGGACAAGGCCGTGCGGAATGGTAAATCTGCGCCCTCCAGAAGAGGAACGTTCCCATGAAACAGGGACCCTTGGTGGCAGAGTCAGTGAAAAATTATACTAATTACATCAAGCAAAATGCCACCCGTCATGGAGAATATTTTAATTCTCTCTAGTCCAGGCTATTCATGGCTTTTTTTTGTGCAAGATTCAATACAGGTCTGTAAAAGTAAGGCTTGGAACCAGCTCTGCCTGTTAGGTTCAAGAGAGTCTGCACCGAGAAAATAAAAAATTAGGAACTGAGCACAGTGGTGTAGCTTATCTCCTTTCATATTTTTCTTCTCTTTGGGCTAGTTGTCCAAGGAAAAATGAAGGTGACTAATTTTTCCCGGATCATTTACAATTTTCCATTGCTCGCTGTGCCATCCTGCTTCAGAAACAAGCCAAATCATCTCTCTTCCAGGGCAACTTTTCCTTCCAGTTCTGTCGGAGGTGGTCCAGGCCTCACAGTTGGTTTCCCCATAGAGTACCACAAGATGGCGACAGCGTCACGGTGGAGACCGGCCAGCTGCTCCTGCTGGATGCGAACACAAGCCTCCTGAGTTCGCTGCACCTTAAAGGTCGGTGGAGTTTGAACAGCCTGTGGTCACTCGGAGGGAGGGGGAAGGGAGGGGGAAGGTTCTGGAGAAGTTTCCGCGTTTGATTGACAATTTATTTTGAAACCAGATTGAAACGTCTTTTAAAATGAAAAGTAAGAGGTGGTCGGAGGAGTTCAAAGTTAAAGGCCGTTCTTTTCCGCTCTTTTTAAAGCTCAGAGCTTAATTATTTTATTTTTTTCAAAAACAAGAAAGTTAATAGTGTTCTCCAGGAGCAGCTGCCTCGCCCCAGCCCTTTGTAGTCTTGCTTATCCAGGGCAAACCCCACAATATAGCAAAATGCCTTGAAATTGGTTAATGCTGCTGCCTTTGAAATCCTCTGCCAAGAAAGCAATGTCTTCCTGCGTTTACCCTGTTGTGGTTTTGTCTTCTTGGTCCCATGGAAAGTCATATAAATAGGCTTCCTTAGTGCAAAACCATCCACATAGCTCTAGGGTATAGGAAGTTGGAGGAGCCTGAGAATTCAAATTTCAATTCATCTGCCATGTGGCTAAGTTAGTCAGTGCACCTCTTTGTGTATTTATTTTTGTATCTGTTAAATGATAATAAATCACACTGCCTACTTCATGGGCTGATAATAATAAATAGTTATGAAAGTGCCTTTGCTCATTGTCAGATGGAAATTGTGTGGGAGAAATGCTTAGTTATGGACGCCTCTATAACTTGACACTAGTAGTTACTATAGATGCCGTGAACAACGCGTGGATGCACTCTTGTTACAGTAAGAGCGTATCTACACACCCAAACATTTGGAAGAGGAATAGCTAACGTACTTTTGCTATCTCTTTCTTTATTTTTTCTCGAGATAGGGTTTCTCTGTATCCTTGGAGCCTGTCCTGGAACTAGCTCTTGTAGAACAGGCTGGTCTCAAAGTCACAGAGATCTGCCTGCTTCTGCCTCCCGAGTGCTGGGATTAAAGTCATGTGCCACCACGGTCTGGCTATGATACCTGTTTTTTGTAGACTGAATCAAGATTTTCTGGCCAGTTATTGTGACATTCTTTATTCTGGAAACTGCTTTTGTTTTTCCTTTGTTCCCAGGCGAGAAGTTTTCTGTCCCGTCAGTGAATTAGTGACCTTTAAGAGGTAGAATGTCTGTCATATTGAGTTTTTATCTGTTTTGTGCTTTCCTCCCTTCCTCCCTCCCTCCCTCCCTCCCTCCCTCCCTCCCTCCCTTCTTTCTTTCTTTCTTTCTTTCTTTCTTTCTTTCTTTCTTTCTTTCTTTCTATATGTGTATACATGTATGAGTGTAGTATGTATGCATGTATGTAGATCAGTGGCTATTGAGGTATATATGTATGTATGTATGTGGCTTAGTGACTATGGGGAATATTATGTATGTGACCTAGTGGCTATGGGGAGTATGTGTGTGTGTGTGTGTGTGTGTGTGTGTGTGTGTATGTGTGTGTGTGTGTGCAATTAAATGTAGATATGTAGCTTTGTGGCTATGGAAGTATTATGTATGTATTATGTATATATGCAATGTGGTTTAATGTATTGTATGTATATATGCGGTTTAGTGGCTATAGGGATATGTATGTGTGTGTGTGTATGTAAATGACTTAGTAGCTAAGGAATGTCAATAAACCAGTATATCCTGAAGACTAGCAACGACAAAGTCAAATTAGAGACTTAGAACTGCATCTCAAAAGTTTTCCTTGCTAAGCTTTAAATGGGCACCATTCCCACAGAATCTGACTTATGCCGGAGGATGGGGTACCCTGCATCTTCTCAAGGGCCTTGGCCTTTTGTTGATACAACCATTTGAAAGAACCGTTCCTACTCAGGTCTTGGATTTATAAGTCTGGCCTTTGGATATATGCTTATTTCGTAGTAATGTTTAACCAAGAAATAGAGTTAAAAAGACGAGGTATGAAGGAAGAGGCATCGGATGGGCATCAGAGGACAGGAGACAGGAAGGAGCCTGTGCAGCAAGTTCACTAGAGTCGATGAGCGGCATTTGGGAGGACACTCTCATTCTGGGGATGCGCAGGGGGTGGATATAAGCCTTTGTACACTTAGCTTACAAGAGTTCTTTGCAGGGAAGGGAGTTGCCTCCAGAGAAGCTGAGATTTTTTTGATCATAAAGACACAAATTGTAGATCTAGAAATAAGAACAATGAAAGAAAAGACAAAGATCAAATTTTGCTCAACAGATAATTTTTGAATGCTTATTATGTGGCCTAGGAATTCTCTCAGATGCCAGAAAAAGTGAAGAAAACCATTAATGGCAGCAATAAGCAGTATTACTGAAAGGAAAATAACTAGGGGAGTAAATGCAACAGATTGAAGTTTCTAGTTCTAGCTAAAGCAGTTGATGGATACAAGCAGTGATGTATAATGCAGAGTGAGTAATTATTCGAGTTGGCCTGTGGAGAGGATTCAGAACATGCCATTTTTTTCTAGGTGTGTTAAGTAATTCAAGTCAGTAAAATATTTGCTGTGCAAGCATAAGAACTCAGGTTCCATTCCAGAACTCACATGAAAATGTCAGGTGTACTGACATGCGCTTGTAACCCCAGTGCCAGAGACACATACAAAGGAAGGTCCCTGGGGCTCACTGGTCAGCCACTATAGCCTAATTGGTGAGCTCTAGGGCAAGAGCCACCTGATCTCAAATGAAGCTACATAGCATTTCTGAGAATAGCAACCAAGCTTGACCTCTACATGAACATGCCCACACATTCTCACACTTGTACGTCCACATGTCTAAAAGAGAGCATGTCATTTATTCCAGACTTGTGTTTTGATCACACTGAGAATCAAAGTTGGAGGAACTTCCCTACCTTACTGAAATTGCATGTTTCTGGTAGCGAACCTAATGATAGACTTCATGCTTTGTTTTACCATAACCACCAGTGATTCCTGCTGTCTCAAGCCTCACTCGGTGTTTGTACATCTACACTTACATCAGTATCATTTTATTCCTGATCGCTGTAATTTTAGGTCTGAATTGCTAAACATTGACACTAAGTTTTCCCCAGTGCTTCTAGCTTTGTGTGTGTCTGTGTGTTTCTTTTTAGCAGAATCCCAATTTGTAACAGCAAGACGCTAAATTGTGTGTTCGAGCTTCTTTTGGAGCTAGGCATAGTCTTGTGCTAAAGAAGAAATTTACATGTATAAGAAGTTTCTTAAGGTAGAGCTGATGCAGTAGCACATGTTTGTACTTCATTTCTTCCTCACTTCCTATTATGTAAATATGACGGCTTAATCAGCCACTGTATGCGATCATTAGATGATTTGGTAAGGATGGGGAAGAGGGAACATGAAATGAGCTCAGGACCTTGATGACTTTGGAGTTGCTGTGGAAGTATTGAACTGGCCACTTTATTTATTTATTTATTTATTTTAAAATTTATTTATTTATTAAAAATTTCCACCTCCTCCCCTCTTCCCTTTTCCCTTCCCCCCTTCCCTCTTCCCCCTCCCTCTCCAGTCCTAAGAGCAGTCAGGGTTCCCTGCCCTGTTGGAAGTCCAAGGTTCTCCCCCCTCCATCCAGGTCTAGGAAGGTGAGTATCCAAACAAACCAGGCTCCCACAAAGCCAGTCTATGCAGTAGAATCAAAACCCAGTGCCATTGTCCTTGGCTTCTCAGTCAGCCCTCATTGTCAGCCACTTTCAGAGAGTCCAGTTTGATCACATGCTCCATCACTCCCAGTCCAGCTGGCCTTGGTGAGCTCCCATTGGATCAGTTCCACCGTCTCAATGGGTGGACATATCCCTTGTGATCCTGGCTTCTTTGCTCACGTTCTCTTTCCTTCTGCTCCTCATTTGGACCTTGGGAGCTCAGTCCAGTGCTCCAATGTGGGTCTCTGTCTCTATCTCCATCCATCGCCAGATGAAGGTTCTATGGTGATATGGAAGATATTCATCAGTGTGGCTATGGGACAAGGCCAAACTGGCCACTTTAAAAAAATTGTAATTTATTCATTCTCTGAGAATTTCATATATGCTTGCAATGCATTTTCATCATTCTTATCCCCAACTACTTGTTTTAACTCCTCCCGGATCTACTCCCTTAATCATAACCCCTCCCAACTTCTATTTGAATAAGCCTCCGAGTCTAAGCAGATAGTCCATATGCACATGGCTGTGGGACAGTCCACTGGAGCATGGTTGGCCTGCCTGTGGTAGGAAGATGGACAGTCCTCCCCCAGCAGCCAACAGCTTTCTCTAGCTCCTGAACTGGGGCTGGGAGCTCATGAGCTTCTTCCCACTCTATGCAGAAGTAAGTTCCTTTTTGAAATCACCTGTTTGGATAGAGAATAAGATTGCTTGTACTGAAGTCATTGCAATTTGCCTTGCGTTCTGTATGCTAAGGTGTGCCCTATCAGTGTTAGCTCATGCCTTTTAAACTATCACACCCCTTGTTGCTTCTCTCTTCAGAATCCTCTGATGACTTTACATCTCACCAAGACTGAAACCCAAGGTCGTTCTTTAACTTTGGATTTATTCTTTGATCTTGTCATCCTTACTCACTACAGCTAAGCACTTCTGTGAAACTACCTGACCTTAGACCTTGGTCCTTAATGTCTTTTGTCTGCAACATTTGTTCTCTAGGTTCATGTAGCTTGCTTATTGTGTTTATATGCTCTCTGAGAAAATATCAGTGCATCAGAAAGGGCTTACAGGAGACCCTTCCCAAAATTGCAACTACCTCTCTGTAATTGGAGACTGCAATTTCATTTTCTGGCCTCTCAGACCTGAATTATCACACAAAATCTCTATTAATTACATATTTGACTAGTGGCTCAGGCATATTTCTACTAGGTCTTATATCTTAAATTAACCCATTTCTACTAATCTGTGTATTGTCATGAGGATGTGGCTTACTGGTAAAGTTCTGGCATCATTCTCCTTTGGCAGCTACATGGTGTCTGCCTGACCCAGCCTTCTTTCTCCCTGCATTCAGTTTAGTTTTCTGCCTTCCTATATTGTGCCCTGCAATATGCCAGAGTGGCTTGTT